GCGCACCCTGGGGCCGGCTGACCTCATCTCCCACTCACTTCTTCCCAGCTGCAGAATGAGGACCTCTCATTGGCCCCCAGGGAGAGCAGCAGCAGCTGGTGTTTGCTGCCTCCCCAGCTGTATGGTTGGGGCCTGGTTGTTGGAAAACCCATAATGGGGCTGAGGGGGACACCCTGGGACTCCACTGACCTCTTTGAAACCTGGTCAGAGCATGGAGTAGGAGGAACCCATTGAAGGCCACCCCAGGAACTGCAGCTTCTCAGTAAGGAGAGCTGGCTTCCCAGAGTTCCTGATACAAAGACTGGCACTGCCTGCGCCTTGCCTGGACTTGCCCCCTCTAGCCTGTCCTTCTGTCTGTTCTGACATAAGATAAAAGAATTAAGCGTCAAAGGTCCAATGGAATCTATTCTATCCTTACCTCCCTGATCAAAAGCTGATGTGGGAAAAACCATTTGTCATCTTCGATTAGCTGAGTCTTGAGCCAGGTGGTGTGGTTCAACCTTGGTTAAGACAGAAGTGGCTCAGAGAGGGGAAGGCCCCCTTGTCACAGCCATCCATTCTAATGGCTGTCTTTTTGGTCCCCTTGTGACAGATGTGGCTCCTGTTGTAAATCTAGTACAAACATCCAGTGCCTTCATCTCCACTGAGACACACCTCAAAAATTTGTAATCGACACAATTGTCCTATCGGCTGCCAGGCACTTCCTCCAGACCCTGCTAATGAAAACCCATTTCAAAGACTTGACTGTTTAATAGCCAGGGTACCTGCAAAGGAATGAATGGGGGCCTCCTGTGAGTCACCTTTCTCCCATTGGCTCCTGGAGGCAAGCTGCGCACGTGATATCACTGGTTTCTTCCTCCCTGACTTCATTCCTTTGCAAAAATGGGAGAGTGTTCTGGCAAGATCAGGCTGGGCTGCTCTTCAGTGTTTTTATGGCACTCTGGGGAGAGCAGGGACAACAAAGGCAGAGGGAATGGAAAACAACCATGGCCAAACAGGCGTTTGAAATCTTTGAAAGTTTCAGCATCTTTTTGTTACACAATCATAACATAACTAGAATTCAGATTCAGTAACAAAAACCACCTGAAATACGTCTGTGTTCCAGATCTGAGCCCAGTCTTCCTGTTGTTTTTAGGAAACGATCTGCTCGAAGATTCCCCATATGAGCCAGTAAACAGCAGATTGTCTGATATATTCCGGGTGGTCCCCTTCATACCAGGTAAGCAGATTTACACTTCCACTCCGGGGCCCTTCTCTGCTTGACATCCATTGGCTTGCGTTCTCTTTGGCTCTCAAATAGCGTAGAGGAAGGGAGTTGAATGGCGCAGTGTTTCTGGGAAATTAGAAGTAGGATGGTGCTCATGGAGAGGCAGAATGCCTCGAGCTGATTGTATGACTTGAAAGAAATTCTAAATGAAGTAATGTGGTGTGGTGGTTTCAAAGAGGTTGGAGGGAGGCGACTTGGTTGAATTTTTCCCCCCCCCCTCACATTAAAATATGATTGGCCAGCTCTTGTGAAGGGAGTGCCAGTTCTGTCTGTAGGTGGCAATAGTATTCTCTTCTCTACGTGCCATACACAGCACAGTGCCTCCCTGACACGAGATCTGTTTAAACGATGCCACCTCACGAGATGCCTGAAGATAATCTGTGATTGTTGAAGAATTTTGGATTTACTCGTCTGCCTCTGCTTTAAAAGATTAAGCTCTACCGTTTGTTTACAGTTCTTTTGTTTCTAACTTTTCCTGAGCAAGTGTGTGCACATGTAAGAGAATATATTACTGCCCCGGTGGCCCTTTTAAAAAATAACCTCGCTTCACAGTGGATTGTTTTGTCTGTCCTTGCAGTTTTACGTTTGGTTTGGAAATGAGCTTAGTTTTCGAATTAAGTTTGTCATAACATCTGCATGCAGACAACCGCATAAGTAATGAGCGAGGCAGTAATCTCTCTTAATGATGTACAGATTCCTCACTGATGTTGTCTTTATTTGTTTACGGCGAAGACATTTTCTCAAGTATATATAGCATCACAAATGATATGTCTTCAGTGGTTATACATGGTGGTTAATGTTGAATTTGATTCTGAGACGCTGGCTTGTTACTGGTGGGAGTGTTCTAGTGTCCTAAATATTTTATGTTTCCCCGCAGAAAGCCATAGAACCAAGGAAGTGTGTAAATATTGAGCTTGTGTGTGGGTGTATTATAGATACGTTTCTTCATTCACAAACATCCGCTGAGCACCTACTAGTCCTAGCCATTGGGGTTTTGGCAGTGAGCCAGACAGATGTTGTCCCTGTCCTCATGAATCTTAGAGGCACCAGCAACTGACATTTACCAAGCCCTTACTATACTATGCCAGACACTGTGTTAAAAGCTTCATGTCGTTAACTTATGTAATCATCAAGTGCTTCTTAGGTATTCTTATTTCCATTTCAGAGATGAGGCGGTTGAGGTAGTGTCATGTTAGGAAACCAGTCCAAGAATCACAAAGCTCCTAAGTGGTGGAACCAGAATTAAAACCCAGATTTGTTTGATTACAAGATTGTGTAACGTCTGCCCCTAGCTACTCAGTGTGTGGGCCTCAGAGCAGCAGCATAGAATCACCTGGGAATGGTGAGTGGTGTGGAGTCTCAGGCTCCATCCCAGGCCTGCTGAATGAGAATTTGCGTTTCAAGATGATCTCTGGGCTGGGCGCTTCATACGCTCATGAAGCTTGAGAAACACTCCTCTCTGTTATTCTATCTTCCTTTTGGTTTGGAGAAAAAGTGTGTGTGTGTGTGTTTTGGGATAAGATATAAGGGTACAAGTTTAATATCAGACATTCATACATTATCCTGAAGAATGCTGAAAATTTTCTCTCCAAACCCCTGCTAATGTTCCCTGTCGCCTTGGCCCAGCCAGGACAAGTGTATGTGACCATCTGGGCTCTCACGGGAGCGGGTCTCTAGGAGCTAGGATGGGGTAGCAGGAGTGAACTTGGCCTTCCTAGTGTTTTTGAAGGGCAGTGCGTTTTGCCTGCGGCCTGACCCTTGGATGCTTTACTCTTCAGTCTTTGTACTGATGCCTGGAAGGATATGGACCTTCCCATGGACAGTGAGAGGGAAGAAGTGGGCAAGGAGGAAGGGCCATTTGGGTTTTAATTTCAGAACTGCTATGTGACTTTAACAGACTTATTTCCCCTCTCCAGATCTCTTTCCTTGGTATAATGAGGCCATTGGATGAATAATCTCCTGTCCCGACAGTCCATGATTCTGAGGGAAGACCAAGGTCACCTCCAGAATGCTTCCACGGTGCTCTTGCATTGTCTTTTCAGTCCTTGTTTTTATGATACACTCCAAGGGGCTGGGTCATTCTCAGATCCCACAGGTTTATCTGAATTTCTTTGATGAGTACTGGAAATTCTTCTCCCTGGCCCCAGTTTCACTACTTCATTTTCTGGATCCCTCCCTCAACCAGGTGCCTTTTCATAGCAAATGTGATCCTGAGCTTGTGAGACCTGTCCTGAGAGAACCCAGGAGTCATGACGAATTAATCAGAGCCAGGAAGCCCTTGTCTAGAGCTACATTTTATATCTCAAGGGCATTGGATTTAGGTTCCAGCACTAATGAGCTTTGACTTCTGACAGTGACTCTGTGCCTTAAGTGGGTACAGGAAAGCCAAATGGAGCCCTGAGAGAGTTTAAGTCACTGAATAATGCATATTACCAGCTTGGCATTGGTAGCATGGAGAAAGACAGAGGAGCAGGATGATAAATGTTGCTTTTCATGGGTTGAATCTGAGTTTCTAGAACATCTCTTCTGTCTTGAAACTCTCTCCGAGGAAACCGGGACAACTGGGCCTCTGCCTTTTGCAGATATGGCAGCAGCCAGTTTCCATATTTGGATTTCTCTGCCCAACGTGAAGAGAATGTTTATCCACATACATTAAGTGTGAGCTGAATCCTCTCACCGAACTAGACATGTTTGACGTTCTTGAGTTTCCATTTTCTTTCGACTCCTCAAAACCCGCAGACATCTTCGCCATTGTTTACTCGATCACCAGTTAAAAGACCATATTGAGGTCAAAGTAAGGTCGGATCTAAAAACTGTCATCTGTTCTGAAGCCTGAGCTGCGGAAGGGAAATGAGGCTGCCCAGTCAGGCGAGAGGGTGGGGGGACCACTCTTGTGGAGACTGGATAGCAGGAGCATTGGGCCTCTCAGCACTTTTTTTTTTTAAATGTATANAGTTTGTAGGTGAAAATTTGGAAATAAACTTACTTAAGGTGAAGAAACAGATTGAAAAAGATTTAATTACTTGTCGCTTAGGTCCGCCCTGTAACTTAGACCGTTACCAGGGCTGGAGACAGAGGACTCAAGTAGCCCTTGGTTGGAACCATCTGTCGAGGAAATGTGGCATATGTCTGCTTTGTTTACTCAACAAGCGAGTGTAAACTGATACACTGAAGCAAAAACCCATGTTTGGTGCGACTGTGTGTGTGTGTGTGTGCGTGTGAGGTGGGGGTGCTTGGTGTGGGAATCAGTCTCCCCACCCCTGCCCCCGAGAACACAGGAGCCGAGGCCCTCGGGTGTCCTGAGCGGGGTGGGGTGGGGGGCGCAGACACTCTCGACAATGCCCTGGGAGCACTGGAGCCCGAGGGGCGCGCCCGGCTGCCGTGCGGTTGAATGGCGAGCCCCCTCCCCCGCCCTTACACCCCAGCCTCAAACCTCAACCAAAGCCCATGCCCTTTTCAATTAACCCCCCTCGATCAAAACGAGCGTTTCTTTTCTCTCCTCCGCAGCCCATTGTCTGGTGTGATGGGTTTGCAGATTTGACAGCTGGGCTCTCCCAGACTTGATTCAAACTCGGTTTCCCAGAGATATGAACTTGGACATCAGCAAGGATCCCAAATACCAGCCCTGAGCGACGTGACCGCCACCCGCCACTGCAGGCTGTTCCCCCAGACCCCTGTCTAGACCCAAATGTAGACTTGGGTGCCCCGGGCGCCCATGGGCGTGCCTGGAGGGGAGCATGTGTTCAGAGCTGGCTAAGGGGGGGGGGGGTCAGCAGCTAGACAGAGGACGAGTGGTCCCAGGGGTTGGGGTGAAGGATTGTGCATATATTGGGCTTTTAAATTTATTATTTTAAAATTTACTCTTGAAACAGCCAAAATGGAAGTCCGCGTATAAATGACCCAAAGCCCGGTCTGACGCGGTTAAAGGCACTGAGTTCCGCTTTTGTCTCCGTGCTCAGGCTCCAGGACAGAGGTGGAGAGACGCGTGCATGTGAGTGCGCGCGCGCTGGCGCGGACGAGTGGGTGGGTGCCCCGCGAGCCGGGCTCGGAGGGCCCGGGTCTGAGTGCGTCTCCAACGCGCCAAGTCTTGAGTCACAGCCGCGAGTGACGTGGGGAAAAAGTTTGTGTTGGGAATGGGGGTCTGGCTTGATTGCAGTAGGGCGGAAAAGTCCTCGTGCACAGTGCCCTTTTGTGTGTGTGTGTGAGAGAGAGAGGGAGAGAGAGGGAGAGACGGGGAGAGGGGGAGAGAGAGGGAGAGAGAGGGGAGGCAGCGCTGGAGGCCGGCTGCGTAGCGCTGCGCGTCCTGCGCTTGCCGGGTGGGTCGCGGGTCCCACCGCGGGCGAGTGTGTTCTTCCGAGGCGTCCCAGAGGGCGAGTATCGAGCACCGGAGGGGGCGGGCAGCGTGCTGGGGTCCGGAGGGAGCAGGAGCAGGAGCAGGAGCAGACCGAGGGTCCCCTGGCAAAGAAACCTGGTCTCCGAGCCCGCTGTCCTTCGCGCAGCTCCGCGTAACCGCCAGCATCCCTAACCGGCATCTGAGCCCTAGGGGGCTCTGCTTGGAAACCGTCCTGGCCCAACCAGATCCTCTGAGATCTCGAAGGTTACCGCATCCTTCCTCCTAGCGCAGACGACTGAGCCCGGAAAGGGAAGGAGGGGGCGGGGACACCCCCGTAAAATAAATAATAAATAAATAAACTGGCTCCTCGCCGCAGCTGGACACGGTTGGTGGAGTCCAGGTTGGTGGCATTTGGAGGGAGTTTTCTCATTCTATCGATTTAGGGATCTGTCGCCGCTCCCCCACGCCCCTCCTTCCCT